CTGGGGAGCTGACCTTCCTTCTGCTAAGTCACACACTGAAGAAACTTAAAATACTGATCAAGAGAAAATACACAAGCGTACACATACTCATGTGCCCTGAAAAGGGATCGTGCAGAATTCCTCACTGAAAATTATTTGTTCTTCCTGGTTTAATTAATGGTATTGCATAGACAAATTGAGGGCAAGAGGATGATCTGGCAGTGAGAAATTCTGGTGATCAATGAGGAGTGAGTTGTTACACATGATGTTGCTCCTCAGTAGTGGAAGGTGGTAATGGACAGGCTTCTGGCTCAGACATTAATCTTCTCAGCTATATCCATAAATGAAATGTCATGCCTTACAACTCCTCTTTTTTTTATTGGTATTTCATCTTAGCTTTCCCTGATTAAAATTAATGTCTGTGCATGTGTGTAGAAAAATGGGGATTAAAAGAACTACATATTCAGATGGTCAGAGATGATACATTCACACACACACAGAGCCCAGTTTCAAAGAACAGATAGAAAAAAATCAAAACAAACTGCAAAAAGTCAGAGCACCTGTTCTTAAACATGACAACCTGCCAAAATTTCATCTTGAGATGTGCTTAAGACTGTGACAGAGATAACCAGAAATTACTGTGCACTGGGATAGCAAATTAAAACCCAGACGTCAGTGAGGCCACAGGATATTGGATTAAAGACCATGAAGAGGTTGTCAGTGTTTTTGACATTTCCTTGCTGGAAACATCAGTGTACTCAATATGTGGATGTATTTGAATGCTAAAGCTGGGTGAAAGGCTAAATCAAATCCACAGGAGAACTTGGCATCAAAAGCAGCTGAGCATCCTCAGTTCCAGTCAGTTGTGGGGGCCAGGCCTATATCAATGTGCATATGAAAGAAATATGGCAAATATTGTTCCAACAAAACAAAAGTGAGGTGTTTTATTGAAGTTACAGATTGACTTTGGGTCCAGCGTGGTGTGACTGGTCTGCTGGTGTAGTGTTAATGTATGAATGGGGAATGAAATGAAAGTTCCAGGGAGGGATGTGGTTTGAACCCCACTGATGGGTCTTCCTCAGGCTTTGCCATGTGCAGGGGTGGGTGTTATCACTGGGGCTGGAGAGGAGACACAAGTTACACCGAGTTTTCCAAGTGTTGTGGGTTTGTTCTGCTCAGAAGATGCACATTTATGGTATTTCTCTGAGCACAAGTTAAATCCCTAAACACTAAATTCCTCAGTTTTAGCTTGGCAGTTAAGCCTGTTGAATTTTACTTGTCCCACCCTACTCACTAATCAAGGAGAGCATTTTATATTTCTCATTTGAGAAATACATGAGTATTTCTCATACTTTGATCAGCTTTGACTAAATCAGAGGCTTTTTAGCAGAATGCTTCAACAAGCTGTGACAGAAAAGCAGAATTTTAATGAACTTCACATGTACAGTTTTAGGGGTGTTTTGTGGATGACACTGTGAGACATGACTGACATGTTACAGCATTTTGTCCTTTGCCTCGTGGAATTTATTAAACTTTTGCCTTAAAAAGGGCGTTTTTCCTCATGAAACATAATCTCCCATCACTTGTGACCGCAGATCTGACCTGTGTTATCTGACAGTAAACACACAGCCTCATCAAATCACTCATCTTCCCACGTTGCAGCAATAATTTTGAGGGGAATCTGAATAAATTTCCCCACAAATGGTACAGCTGCTCTCAAAGAGCAGAGCTAATGAATTGTCATGAGTGGAGAGAAGGAGAGGTGCCTTGCATCCCTAATCCCAGGCAGCTGTCAGGATGGTGCCTGATCAGCTTTAGTCACCATCGCTAATTACAGGCTGAGAAATTACAGCCACTTTTAGGTTAATGGCTGGTAAACACCTAGAGGTAACTTACAGCAAGAGAGGACTTGCCCTTCAGCTTAAAAAAGGGGGTGGAAGGGCATTTTGTGCTGCTGTGCTGACCCTCCTGCAGTGACTGTACATCCTGAGCCTTTTAATATCCACAGCCTTCTGGTTCCAAAGACATCCCAAAAACAAAACCAAAAATTTCCCCATTAATTTAATGTATTTTCAAACAGAGATGTATTAATGCTTTAAAGGCAAGGGTACTCAGTCAGAAGAAAGAATTCAGTTATTATTCTCCTCTGTCAATTCTTCTCCTCAGCTAAATTTGTAATATTTTAATGAAAAATGTCAGTGCTGTGACGGTTATACCAACAATAAAATCATTTTCTCTCTGTTTTTTATCTGAGGATACTAAATCTAACATGCCAGTTATATCTCTAGAGTGGGTTTGAGTGAGTAGTGAATACCAGCTCAGTCAGCAGAGTTTTAAATCAATCCTAGTGCTTTGTAAAAGCAGCAGTACCTTGTCACCTTAGAAAATGTTAATGGACTATCTGGTGAGCATGACCTGAATTGCAATTTCAAACTTATATTTCACTATACTCATCATTTTTGGTTTTTATTATTTCTTCTCAACAGCAAATCTCATAAATTCTCTGGTAAACCAGACCAAGTGGTTTGTACACAGATACAGAAACTAAGGCAGAGGTGATAAGTGAGATAGGTAAAGGACACTAAAATACAGTAATATGTAAATATTACTTGAATATGTAAAACTGTACAGGCTTTTGTGCTGCTTAATATTTATCAGCCTGAGAATTTTGCTTCCAGACCTGTTGCAGTATTCATCCTCTCTGCTATCTAACAGGGATGGCAAAATCAAAAATCAAGGTGTGTCTTAAGACTCTGCTACTGAAATGCTCAGACTTGCTTTGATATCCCCATTCTGGAAATAAAAAATCCAACAACAGGAAAAAACCACGCAGACATTTTCAAAGCCTTTTTTACTGATAAGCTGAAATAAATCAAGCTGATTAATTTATCAACTGAGATGGGATTTGATTGCTGTTTTGTGAATAGTTTATTGTTAGCTAAAAGGAGGGATGGTGCAAAGGCCTCTAATTTTTCAGGGAAGAGCATGACATATTCTGATTTATGGGCAAATTCTAATGACATGCCATGCCTAAATCTATAATCTTTCAAAAGTGATGAAATGAGCAGAGCATTCCAAAGAGACGAAAGGCAAGTTTAATGTTTCTCTATCTTATCTAACTTCTAGAAACAATACAGGAGGATATTGCAAGTAAAACTACGTGCAATAGAGGGCTAAATTCTTTGTACTACTCTCTGATATGTTTGACTGGGGGTTCTTTACCTTTTCTAAAAGTGAAAAAGAGCACATAAGCTTGAGATTCTGGGCTAGAAGTGGGTTTTTTTTAATTATCTGAAATGTGTGCTAAGCTTGGTATGATGTCTAAGTGGAAAAAAAAAAACCACCCCAAAGTTATTGCATCTGAATTTCTTGTTTCTTACTGCTCTGTTCCAGCCAATTCTCGTGGCATTTGAAGTGTCACTATTTGTGTGTGAGTGCAAAAGAATTTCAGTGTTGGGGAACTGTCTAAAATTCATTGCAGATCTCTCAAATTTGGCTTCTGTGCAGAGATCTTCTGTGCAGATCTTCAGGCACAGAGATAGTGTGAAAAACTACAAAATATCTTTTTATAACTTCAAAATGAAAAATGTAAAGATAAAGCTTGGTAATTAATTCAAACTTTAGAAAGCCATGAATATACTTACATTTAGGTCACTATTTACATATATGGAAACCTTTCAGAGGGAAAACCTTTTTATACATTCTGTTTGAGGCACAAGTAAATTGCTGATAACTGTTAAAATTTCACTTTTAAAAAAACCCTTAAACCAGTTCATACTATGGCTTTCCTGGCTCCCTTCCTAGAAGGAGCTTTCTTCGTTGTCTGATCAGTAAGCCACTGCAAAAAAGATTATTCAGAACTGTATTTGCACCTTCAGTTGTGTGTGTGTGTGCTTGGACTCTGCTAGGACTGTGGTCAAATGAATAAAGGTATTAACATCAACAATTTTTCCTGTGGAGAAGCTGAGGTTTCACTGGAACCCTCTACCCAAGTGTTTGTGCACTCCTTTTCACCTCTCCCATCACCTGATTCCACAAAGAAAACCATAACCCTTCACAGTGTGCAGGCTCCCCAACATGGTTACACCCCCTGCTCTCCAAGGATAAACCTTAAGACACCTAAATTATTCTTTTGGGTCGTTTATTTGCTGTAGAAAGTGTTTTGGAGGCTGTTGGTTCCATAATGATTTGTGAACCTCATTCAGAAATGTCCAGTGACCAACAGCAGCATCAGGTTTTAAAGGGTTTGTGGGGGTTTGAGGGGGTTTGAGGATTATTTCTCTGGAGGTTTTCCTGTTTCATGTGGTGTTCTGGAAGGCTTTATTTGGATTACCTTATTGAGTGTTTCTTTAGTAAAGGAGCAGTATGCATTTCAAGGAAATGTGCTTTTAGTTGGATAAAGGTTTGATTTAAAAAATAATTTTTAAAAAATTTTCAATTGGAAATTACTGCTTAAAGATGCTGTAGTGAAGTCATGAAAGAGTCATTATTTTCTGCTTTCCTGACTAGGCATAAAAATCCCCCCCACTTTAGAGGGAAGGTATGTCAAAACTTGTTCAAAACTTATTATTCAATTTTTTTGTTTGTTGTTGTTACTAAAGCATATTTAAATTTCCAATAAACTTATTCTGAGCTGGGTTTGGAGGAAGAAATGATTTTCTGTTTCTCACTCTAATGAAAGCCATGGTGATAATAATGCTGGGTAAAAAACTAAGTGTCCTGATTTAATACCTCTGATAGGAATTACTTCTGGAAGCTGAGTTAAAGAAATACCAGAGGTCAAAAAAAACCAAAACCAGACCAGAATGTCTCTGCTTTGCAGTGTGGGAGATTAGAAATGATAATAAATGATGTCTGGGAACCTGAATTTTTTATTTTCTCTAAGGGTACATTGTCACCTGGCAGGTAAAACCAATGCTGTTTGTAACCAGCAGTTTATGGCACAGAACATGGCACAACACATTTTGTTCAGCCTCTTTATGCTGCCTTAACTTTTAAAGTGATTTAATCTATTTTTGCAGCTTAGATGCTGAAGGCCTTTGGAAGAAGGAAACCCCCCAGGTGGTGAGGTTGGAGGAACACCATCTCCAGGGGAAGCTCCATCAGAAAGTCTGGGACTGCAAGAGCTGTCTGTCACCTTGTTCATCTTGTGCCTGGTGAAATGCTACATTCACCTTTCCACAGCTAGCAGGATGTGACCTTTGCAAAGGAGAAGAGGTGGGAAGAAAAGGTATTTTTTAGAAGTGAGTGCTTGAGAGATTATAATTTGTGCAAATACTTTCAGAGTAGATCTCATTGGATTTTTTTTTTTTGAACCAAACTGTATACTATGATAGACAAATGCCTACAATTTTTCAATTTAGAAATTTCAGAATTTTTTTTCTGAAGGGATCTCTTGTAGCTGAACAAATTCACATACACTTAATTGAACAGAGAAAGGAAAGAGAAACATTCCTTGCTCTCAACAGCTCTAGCTGGAAGGGCCATTCACAAAATTACCCACCCAAAAATATGAATTTACATCCCTCTAGGACAGAAGGGAGCTCGTGGTCATGGTCCCTGTGGAAGGCACATCTCTGACCTGTAACAATGGCCTAAGAGTAGTGAGCACAGAGGCAGTTTGTGTTTTCCAGGCATCCCATGCCCAGTGTGGATCCTGGCACTAGCCCAGGGCATCCTGCCTTCCCAGTGACTGCTTCCACCACATCCATGTGCAGCCATTCAGATAATAATGGTAAAAGAAAAGCTTGGATGAAGCAAAATCTCGTAGTAATGTCTGTAAAATCCCCTGGCACTATCAGCTTTTAAAGAGTTTCACTCCAGTTTTTCCATGCTAATGGGCACTTGAATATTTCAGTGGGTTTGTGTGTTTGCTTCAGCCTGACCCAACAGTATACTTTTAAAATCTTATGCTCTGGGATAAAATCATGCCTTTTGCCTACATTTGGAGCACATGTTCCTCATTCCTCACTTTTAGGAGTCCCTGGGACCAAGCCTGCTTGCAGTGTGGTGTTGTTTTTTTCCCACAGACGATGGGCTGCTGTTGTTCCAGACATCTCTCAAATGGTCAGTGGTACCATGAGGCAAACACCTGTTTATTTGCAGTCTGTATAATCTGTGCCACGTTTGCAGATGGTGCCCTGCACAGTTCTGGGAGGTATGTGCTAAATAGCCATGGATGACTTGGAAGCAGTGCTGGAAAAAATATCAGCATTAAAACTTTCAGCAGTTCCACTCTCATCAGATTTTTAGACCTGGCTGGGCACAGCAGAGCACAGAAAGGGGAGGATTTCAAGATTGCAAATGTTCTGGGGCTGCAAACATGCCATTTTTCAGCTTTGAAAGAAGTCTCCTGTAATACAGAAATTAAGAGGTTTACCCAGCAGAAAATAAGTGTTGCCACTTTATTGTTTTTGGCAGGAGATGGTGGTTCATCATTTGAGCACATCAGGTACTTTCCTTGTGACTATCATGTAATTTAAAATGACAGTGCTTCAAATGGTGACAAAATGACAAAGCACTGATCTGTGGTGGAAGTCTAGCATGGAGAGAGAGCTGCAGCCAGGCAAAATTATTTAGAAAGGGAGTCAGAAGAGCACTTTGCTTAGGGTTTATTTATTTACTGGACTTCCACTAGCAGAGAACCAGGAGCTGTGAACCTTGAGGTGAATTTTTCCAGTTTGTGGGGTACTGTGTCCGTGGCACTTTCTGCTCCAACATTTTGAGGACTTATTTGTACAACATTGTTCATCCCTGTGAAAACAGCTGAAATCAAAGCTGGTGCATTTGCTGTGGCTGGAATAATTATGTCCATCCACATAGTAAAGAAAAAAATCATGGTTAAAACTCGCTTGCTGGTTTGAGTTGTCACAGTTGCTTTTGAGATTCTCGTGTAGAAGAGGATTTTGCATTTCGGAGATGCATGTTCTGCTGAACCTCCCTAGCCTTAGAAATTCCTGGAAGTGTAGAGCAGTTGCCTTGTGACAGACACTGTGAGCTGGTTGGTGTGAATAGCTGGTGGTAGGAAAGTGTCCATCTGTCTGGGAATTCACTGCTGCCTTCACACATCCATAATCCTACACAAACTTTTTTCCTCAGTGCATCTTAGAGGATGGGAGTGAGGATAGATTTTGTGGTCACCAAAAAGAAAAAAAAAATTATTATTTTGTAGAAAAATAGTGTATGTTATAAATATACTGTGTATAGTAAAATTCCATCTAACTAAAATACATTTCTTTCAGCAAGGACTGAAGTTAAATGAGCTTCTTGAGGAGTACAAACACGTACCAGACAAGTGCTGGTGAATGATATTACTATCTTAGAAACTGGAGCTATTGCTAAAATGTAACACAGCTTTTTAAACAGAAATTAATAGACAGGCATCAGGTGCCACTTAATTTTTCTTAAGTCATTTTGACTGCTGTTCCCAGGGGAGGCTGTGAATGTGGGATTGATTTACAGTGAGAATGAGGCCTGTGATTATCCTGTTTCTCATTCTGGGGATGGGTTTCCTTTAAAAGCATTCCTGCCCTCCTTCCCACCCCGTGTCCCTGCTGGGCTGCAGGGGAAGCACGTGTGGGGAGCTGGAGGAAGGTGCTCAAACAAACCCCAAAGCTTTAACTCAGCCAAGGGAATTCAGTGCTGCCTCTGCCACTCAGTATTGAAATTACTCACACTCATGCCCAGGAGGATGTCCCTTTCTCTGCTCATTTGGGAGATGTGAATTCTCTGACTGGATGCTCTGCACTTGTGGTTTACAGGTTTGAACCATTCAGTGGCCATAACCAACTGTGGAATGCCATAAATGGAGCAATATAACGACTGGAGCTACCCAGCATCCTTCAGATTAACAGCTGGCTCTGTAAGTACCACTGTCCTGATGGGAATTCTAAAAAGCAGTGCCAGCTCCTGTGGATGGTGGGGTCTTGGCTGGCAAGTTACATCATGTTAAGGAAAGAAAGCTTTTGTGCCTAGGAATTGTTCTATGGCTGTGCTCAGTTTGAACTTCTCATGTTTTTTGTGATTTGCTTTTATTTCTAAACAAAGATGAACTGTAACCTCCCCCCCTAAAGGCCTCATACATACCCCTTTGAAACAAAGGATTAAATCCCCCAAACCATCTGTGCTGTAGGAGACTCACATTTGCCAAGCCTGCTTCAAAACTCAGGCTGGTGTCACTGGTCAGAGATGCATTTTTTGAGATTTAAAGTCTGGTTTCTTGCTTCTACCTTCCAGCCTGTGGTGCTAATCTTGTGTGGAAGGAGCTGTGCTGAACAGAATAGCTGGCCTGTAATTGGGGGAGATTGCTGCAGCCACTTATCTCTGTGGGTGTTACTCCTGTTCTCAGCATCATTGCAGTTAAAATGGTTATCATTTTCATCCATAGTGTCTTCCTAAGACAAAAATAAGCATGTGCCACTTATCTTTTCAGTGTTATTGAATCATTTTTGAATCATTTCAGTATAGAATGATTTACTTTTTTTTTCTTCTTTTTTTTTTTTTTTTTTTTCCCCGCTGATCCATGGCCATAGCCCAGGAAAAGTTGTGCATTGTTATCACTCTCATGGGATTTAGCAGAAAGGGAGCAGGATCTAAATAAGCTTAAAAGTTTCTGATTACCATAATTGGAACATCAAAATCCTTTAACAATAATAATAATAATAAAAAGATCCAAATTCTTTTATAACTGTGCATTCAAAATCCTACAGGTTATTCAGGTCCTACACCATCTGATTTCTGTGCCACCTCACTGTTTTCTTCTGCCTCTGAATGGCCCTGGGCAGGTGCCCCTCCTGTTGGGTCAGTCATTTCCTAACTCACAAATTGGGAAGCCATGCTGGGTGGTCAGAGCTCAAGTGAGTTTTTGGAAGAGGGCTTGTACTAACAGATTAGGACTTGAAAAGAATCTGATTTCAGTTATTATCTTTAGAAAATACTTCTAGTGGAAGCTTAGATGATCCATTAATTAGTCTGGGTGTGATCTGCATCCTGCCATCCTTCTTTTTACTTTGCTGAGCTTTAGCAACCTCATCAACAAAGTGTGGCCATTGTTTCCTTGTTTGTCTTCTTTTTCTGTCTAACAAATGCTCAGTGCCTAATGTGCATTTAGGCATCCAGGAAAAACAAAACACATGGCTCTGGCAGCATACAGTGATGCTACTAAATCAGGAAGAGAAACCTTTTGAAGGTCAAGTTATCACACATCCCAACTCCAGAAAGCATTTGTCATGCCCTGGGAATGGATCTGAAATCTGATCCATCTTGGAGAATAGTTCACCACAGAAAGAATGCATTATAGAATGTCTCTTCCTGAAATTCCCTATGGAGCTGATTTCCTGGAAAGCAGCCTTAGGTGTGGTGTGGGTAATGGCACCAGGGCTCTGGGAAGAGGATGGTGTTTGAAAAGCAGCAGCAGCAGGGGAGGGAAGGACTGAAGCTCCTTGCAGCTTATGGAAAGCTGGATCACTCTTCAGTTACGTCCTTATAAAAGTTAGCATGTGGAACTACTTCTGAAAGTTTTAATGCTTTTTAATTTTTTAATGCTTTATGTTGGATAACTTGTAATATACAAATGATATCAGCTCTATGAAGATTTTAAAATAGGAAGGAAGAGGATGATAAAATCCTGAAGGTTGCTCCCATATTAGAGCTCCTTGTACTGCAAACTCCATATAAGTTAAAAATGAGAGTATTTGACTGTTTCATAAAGCTGAGCATATTTGATAGTGCTATATCATAAAACCCTTGTCTCTTAAGTAGCTGGGTGTGGTAGTTGTAAAAGTGTCAGATTTATTCTAGAAAGGCTGTGTGTTCATAATTTGTAATTGCTTTTATTACTTGTGACTCAAGGCAGATGTGCACAGAAGCAATCAGCAGTTTGTCCTCTAGCCACATGATTTCATGTAACTGAGCCAAAGTCCTTTGCACACACAGAGAAAAAGCAAAGCCCTGAGATGAAAGCTCTGCCTGGGATTACCTAGGATTAAATGGGGAACACAAAAAGGGGTATTAATAATAAAACAGTTGAAGGCTAGCACAGGTCTTCTCCCCTGAACAGAGTCTAAGACACAGCTCATACCCTGGTGGGGGTCTGCTCTCTGCCTCTTTAGCCATTTTCTGTTCTAATGGTTTGTGCTAATGTGGGCTGGAACAAATGGAATGGATGTTGGGGGTAGGAAAACACACCCTTTGCTCTGATGTTCAGTTTAAAATTATTTTCAGACAAAAAGAAAGCTGAATATAGTTCACAATACAATTCTAGCTAAGGAAAGGAACTGGCTTGGAAGAGAAGGTGGCTGAGACTGAAAGCAAACAGCACAAGAAAAATGTTAAGTGCTGTCTTATAAATTGTGTATTTCTCCTGCTCTGTCAGTTTATTCATAATACTCTGTCTTTAAAGTAAATAAATAAACAGTCTGGATTGTTTTTTTTCATTTTTCTTTTGCCATTTGTATACTTTATTCAAACCATTTCTTTTCAACAGGTTTTTTTTTTCTTTCTTTCTCTCCACAGCCAAGGCTCCTTTGCAAAAGCAATGCAGTCCTTCACACAGCAGCCTCTTTGGGCTAAGGTGGGTACAAATCCACACCTGTCATTAGGACTGCCAACATCATTGACCAGTAATGATGATAATGAGACAGTTCCTAGCAATGCATTATTAATATGATGCTGTTACCCACAGCAAGTGCTGATCTCTAAAGTTCATTTACAGCTTTATCACACTTTCTCAGTAGCTGCTATTGCTCAGCCATCCCTCTTTTTTTTCCTCTTGCCTTCTCAGATGAGCAAAGATCTTTGATGCTTCCATTTTCTCACTCCATGAATGGATCAAAGAGCCCAAAATCCACAGGGCTTTGAAGCAGGAGGAGCACTGGAAGAGAGAGATTACAGTCAGCTAGAACAGAAATGCATTAGTCTGGAGCTTGATTGGTCTGGTTTTGTAGTTGACATTTGTGAGCATGAAAGCATTAGGGAGAAGTAACAATGCCATTTTTAGATAAAATAATAGTAGATTAAAAAAAAGTTAATTTTGTTCTAAATTCCACAGTAATATTATGTCTTGCAGTTAATTTCTAACTATCCTGAAGTGATAACCAGTTTTCTTTTGTGTAAAAGGAGCCATAGTCTAAGGAGACTCTTGAGTGGCAGCCAAGATATGAAAAATGTTATTTGAATTAGGAATTCTTATCCATGTTTATAGTACTTTCCAGAGGCTTTCTCTCATTTTTAGGCCTTTTTCACAAAAGCATATGCAATAAAAATGTTACTGCTGCCAGCTTGTATGCCTGAAAGGTCAATTCTTCTTTTTGTTCTAACTTTATCAGTTTCTTTAATAAAAGATATTAACTCTCTTCACAAACCTGTCTCACGGAGAGAAGAAAAATATCCCCATCTCCAAAGAAAATATCACTTCTATTTAATGATTAAAACAGATCAGTGTGAGAGAAGACATAAGGCAGCTACCAGAAAATTCTGGTGAGTAGCAAGCTATAAAAGCTTCGGTTTTCTGGTCATTCTGAAAGTTTTTGGTGCTGTTTTCCTAATAAAATTGAGCACAATAGAGCAAGAAGTCTTTCAAGGCCATGGTTGGTACATCAGGAAGAGAATCCTTCCTTCCTGACAATATGGACTGTGCCTCTCTAAATTCCAGAAGGTGCTAGAGCAGCTCAGTGCCAATTCCATCCCTCCAGCCTGACCCATGGAACATCCCAACACCAAACTCCCATCTTTGGCTGCTGGAAAGGACTGAGGCTGCATTTATCAGAGGAAGCAATGGGAGGGCACTGCCTGAGGCCTCAAATGTGAACACACCTCAAAAATCAAAGGAGATTTATTACCAATAAGATCATTATAATACTAGTAATTAATCATGACTAATAACAAGCAAAAGTCATTACATTTCCACAAGATATAACTGTGATATTAAACTAGTATTTTTTCTAAGAAAGGTGTAAGAAGTTAATACTAATTAAAGTAACAAACAAAACAAAATAGTGACAAACAAAGCCCATTGAAATTCCATAAACTATAACAGCAATTAATAGTTAATTAACTATTAACTAATACTAATTTGTATTAGTTAATATTAGTCAATACTAATAGTTAATTAGTATAAACTAATACTAACAAATTCAATTCAATACTAAATAGAACAGCAATGAATAGTTAATTATTAACTAATACTAATTAGTATTAGTTAATACTAGTTAATAATTATAGTTAATTAGTAATAACTAATACTAACCAATTCAATTCTATACTAAATCTAACAGCAATTAATATTTAAATAACTATTAACTGATACTAATTAGTATTAGTTAATACTAATAGTTAATTAGTAGTAACTAATACTAACAAATTCAATTCTATACTAAATCTAACAGCAATTAATAGTTAATTAACTAATACTAATTAGTATTAGTTAATACTAGTTAATAATTATAGTTAATTAGTATTAACTAATACTAACAAATTCAATTCTATACTAAATAGAACAGCAATTAATAGTTAATTATTAACTAACACTAATTAGTATTAGTTAATACTAGTTAATAATTATAGTTAATTAGTAATAACTAATACTAACAAATTCAATTCTATACTAAATCTAACAGCAATTAATAGTTAATTAACTATTAACTAATAGTAATTAGTATTAGTTAATATTAGTTAATACTAATAGTTAATTAGTATTAACCAATACTAACAAATTCAATTCAATTCTATACTAAATAGAACAACAATTAATAGTTAATTATTAACTAATACTAATTAGTATTAGTTAATACTAATAGTTAATTAGTATTAACTAATACTAACAAATTCAATTCAATACTAAATAGAACAGCAATTAATAGTTAATTATTAACTAATACTAATAAGAATTAGTTAATACTAGTTAATAATTATAGTTAATTAGTATTAACTAATACTAACAAATTCAATTCTATACTAAATAGAAAAGCAATTAATAGTTAATTATTAACTAATACTAATTAGTATTAGTTAACACTAGTTAATAATTATAGTTAATTAGTATTAACTAATACTAACAAATTCAATTCAATTCTATACTAAATCTAACAGCAATTAATAGTTAAATAACTATTAACTAATACTAATTAGTATTAGTTAATACTAGTTAATAATTATAGTTAATTAGTATTAACTAATACTAACAAATTCAATTCTATACTAAATAGAACAGCAATTAATAGTTAATTATTAACTAATACTAATTAGTATTAGTTAATACTAGTTAATACTAATAGTTAATTAGTATTAACTAATATTAACAAATTCAATTCAATTCTATACTAAATCTAACAGCAATTAATAGTTAATTAACTATTAACTAATACTAATTAGTATTAGTTAATACTAGTTAATACTAATAGTTAATTACTATTAACTAATATTAAATTCAATTCTATACTAAATAGAACAGCAATTAATAGTTAATTATTAACTAATACTAATTAGTATTAGTTAATACTAATAGTTAATTAGTATTAACTAATACGAACAAATTCAATTCAATTCTATACTAAATCTAACAGCAATTAATAGTTAATTATTAACTAATACTAATTAGTATTAGTTAATATTAGTCAATACTAATAGTTAATTAGTATTAACTAATACGAACAAATTCAATTCAATTCTATACTATATAGAACAACAATTAATAGTTAAATAATTATTAACTAATACTAATTATTAACTAATACTAATTAGTATTATTTAATACTAGTTAATAATTATAGTTAATATAGTTAATTAGTATTAACTAACACTAACAAATTCAATTCAATTCTATACTAAATATAACAGCAATTAATAGTTAATTAACTATTAACTAATACTAATAAACTATTAACTAATACTAGTTAAAAATTATTACATTTCTATTAAATGTAACAGTAATTAATTGCAAGAAACAGAAACCATTAAATTTCTATAAAATCTGATGGTAATTAATAGTAATGCCCATTAGATTTCTATAAATATAATTTTACAATACTTAATCATTGCATTTATATAAACTATAATAATAAGAGCAATGCTAATAGGATGTTAGCCTAGTGCAGGTAACCACACCTGTGGTGTTAATACCAAGCAAGAACACAAACCCCAGTTCCAATTTGGAGCATTTTTGTTCCAGGTTCAGCATTTAAATTCCTCTCCCCCTCTCTGGGTGTGAATATGAGACAAGTTATCCCAGGGAATATCCAAGCCTGTGCAGGGCTCATCAGCTCTGCATGGTCACTGCTTTGATTATTCAAAGGTGTTTGTGGAAAATAAGTCTAAGAGTTCAGCTTTGAGGGATGATCACTCTTTCTGCACCATTTAAGCCCATCATCTCATTTCTAAGTGGTACTGATTACAACAATTCATGGGCAACCACAGTCATTTTCAGAATGGAAGGGTGAGAGAAATGTGACCCTGTCATAAAACAAAGCCATGGGCTAAAGGCTTGGGGAGGGGGGCTGTTTCCATGTGTGATTCAGTGCATCTCATTGCTATAATGCCTTCACATTTAAACAGCTTAATTTTTAAATCACCAGATAATTGTGTAATTGTGGTATTTCTGTTCCCTGTGATGAACCTGCCTAATGGTTCTGTGAAAATAAAATTGCCTGAAAGCATCCCCAGCTCTGTTCCTTGGTGTCACTGTGGGGCTGGAGCTGGGCCCTGGAGCAGGTAAATGATGTTTGACTTGGCAAATAAAGACATTTACACCTACTGGGGCCAGTTCACTTCTCATTCCAGGGAGGACGTTGCTCATGACATCCCCGATGTGGTTCCATAGGCCAGTCAGCTGCTCCTGATTTCTCCTTGTAGCAGCTCTTTTTGCAGAGAGCTCTTTTTCCACTGCTGTCAAAGGAAGCTCAATCCATTACAAAGGGACTTGTTGGACTCTCCTGAAAAAAATATACCCAAAGCATTTTGACTAAGCAGGCAAATCTCAGCGTTCTTTTATGTCTTCCCATTTCACTAAAACAAAAACCACTTGCTAAATACATATAATTTCAGTCAAATTGGTATAAATGCCTGTCAAAGACAGAGATAGCACCAAGGATGATAAGGAAAAAACAGCTAAACGTTCCCAATTAAATACATCAGTCTATTTGAGAGAAACACCTGGATCTGTACAAATAGGCTGTTTGTGCTTTGCCTCTTCATATAGAATCTCCAGAGCTGAATAAAACATGAGTAATTACAGGCAACTTCAGGTAATCTTTAATTCTTTCACTTCACCCAAATGGGACTTGGCACACAATTTTCAAATGCAACCACAGTGAAACTGCACTGCCCCAAGCTAGGACTCATGGCTACACTTTTATGACTTTTTTTTTTAACTTAAAGACATTTCTCTTTCAGCAGTCAGAAGCCTTTTACCAAAACCAAGTTCAATTTATTAAACAAAGTTATTTCTGTACCGGTATTTCAACCCAAATATTTATTGCCTTACCTTGCAATTTTCTTCACTGGTGTAATTGAAAGATATTCTTGTAGTTCCTTGACTTTAATTTTGTTAATCTAAACAAGCCTAGCAAAGCTAACATGTCTTTAACAGAGATACTGTCCTTCCTGTAATCAGCCAAAAACTTCCAAATGGCGAACTGCAGAAGTTCTTGTCCCCTGGGACATGAATTTATGCAGTATATCTTGTGATGGTAGGATTCACAGTACATTTCCTTGCATAATTAAGTTAATCTTATTTCTGTTGTTGTACCTGTTGAAAGGCATTTAGTTCCTTTTAGTACAGAGACAGCCCTGACTTCTGTTTTAGCATCAGTTAAAAATTTAAAACAGGGAGGATTTTCCCACACATTAATGAATATTTTAATCAGTATTGAACTCCAGATGTCCTTTTTATGTCCCCTACCCTAATTTACTTCTGCCTCTAAGTGCTATATGAAACCCAAAAGGGGGACAAAACCTGAGTAGAAAGACTTCAAATGAACATTTTAGAGCTTTAGCTTGAGAGGAAACCTTTGTACTTTTGTTATGCACACATGGAGAAGAGCTATTAAAATACATGGTTCTCTGAGCCACTGAACTGCTTCACTTCACTGCTTCACTTTCCCACCCCGTTGAGAGATTTAAATTGTGAGTTCTTTGGGCCATGGGTTGTTACCTTTTTGCTTTCACACTTTTTAGGCCCAAGAAGCCAATGACCTTGAGTGGACACCAAAACCACACCTTACACAAATTATCCCTTCAGTGTTTCCAGAGTCTGTCTTTGGCAGCACACAAATTTATTCACCCACACTGAATATGTCTCCAGCTCAAGGTAAATTGTCTCAACTTCTTGCATGATGCTTTACCTCATTTATGGCTATTTCAGCTTCTAACCTAATCTGTGTCTACTGCACCTTCTGTTTCTTACCAGTTTTAAGGACAGATCAGGAACTTCAAAAGCCAAGAATGCTGTCCAGCTGACAATATGCAGACTCTAAGGCAAAGGCTCCAAAAAATTGGTGCCTTTATGTTCCTACCTGTTACATTAAACACCAGCACACCTGTAAGTTTTACTAAGCTAGAAATAGACTGGAAGACAAAGGAAAACAGTCTCTAAAAGCTTAAGAAATATAATTTTACATGTTGAGTGCTTCTTGTGTTTTTAAGATTTTTAAAAACTGAACCAAAGTGTCGAAGATTTAAATACCAACTTGAGCTGTCAAAAATCACTACAGATGTAGATAAAATTATTTTTCATGTAACAGAATCTAATTCCTCTCTCTCTCGCTGGGTTTTGGATACAAAACTGGCTGAAAACTCCCCTGCAGTTATATGAAAACATCACTGTCAAAAGCACAGACAATTCAAGCATTTTTCTACTACATTTGTGGTGAAAAGATTTTTTTAAAGCATATAGTGGCAAAAAAATAGCACACATATGAGAAAAACAATGGTTTAAGATTACTTCCTTTGCCAAATATCAAGTAAAAGCATTAGAAACAGATACTGCACTATTTCATGAAGTTAGAAGAAGATAAAGACTTGCAATTTAATATCATTATGTAGACACACTCCTATAACATTGTCATCACCTGCTACTTGAGACAATGAAACCAAGCCAAAAACTTCACCTTAAAATAAGTAGCATTTTATCCTGGAAACAAACTGAATACATATGGCAACCCAGTGCACTGTTCAAATTCATCCAGTCAATTCCTATTTAAAACTCATGGATCTTCTCAAATTTAGGAGAAAAAACTTATTAAATAATCCCCCTATAGATGGCACAGCATTTAATAACATGCTGTTAAATGTATGGGGTTTTTCCTTCTCCTGTTATGGCTTAACAAGTCTGAAGGATTCTCTTGCAGATTTCTCTTTTAAAGTCCACAGGCTAAAGAACTTCCATCACTTGGACTTTCCAGTGTGAAGTTGTTAATACTGTCATAACTCTTATTGTCATTGTACCTTAAATCCTAAATGAGGTAACCACTTCAATATCTAGAGAACAGTGTCCATTCAGGATATGGAACAGAAGGAATAAAGGGAAGATCTTTACCTCTAGATTTTTCACAACTTGAATGACATCTACCATTCAGAATATTTGAAACGGTGCAAAATCTCACTGTTCAACAGGAAAAAAATAAGAGGGAGAGAGACAAAGCAGGATTTGAGCTAAATTCTTGGATGCTTTTGAAGGACAAATAAGGCAAAAGTCTGCAAGTACAATGCAGATGCAAGAGGCATGAAGACACTTGGGGCTTTTGTAGCATATTGGAGACTTTCATTTTGTGATAGAAATTTTCACATTACAAGGCTTTCAACATAACCTAAACCCTTTCCTACAATTCAATTTCTTCCTTTATTCAGACCACAGAAACTTTTCCCAGTGGAAAAGGACAGGCAGCTGGAGGGAAAGGAACCTCACTTAAACACTACTGAATGAAACACAGATGTAGAAGGACAGCAGAAGTTCATTTTTGTGGTAATTATGTTTCTGACAGTCCTTAATGTGTTTTCCTGCATCAAGAGGAGCCACTAACACTGTCTAGAATAGTTCAGTGCCATCCTTAGTTTTAGAGGGGACTATATCTTTGAGATCCAAGTTACTCTTATCCCTGTTTCCAATTTTGAATTAATGGCAAAATGGGCCTGCTGAGGAGTTTTCCCATTTTTAAGTATTTTACTCCTTAGTGCTTCCACTAGTAATATGTACTTCAAAGAGATGAGAATATAGGAGATCCTGTAAAGTATTTTAAGACTAATACTATTGTGACAATTATTTATTGATGAATAGGAAATAAAAAATATTAGAGACAGAAGGCACTGTAAGGAGACACTCTATCTGGAGTGAGGGTGCAGTCTGACTGGAAATTTCATCTAAATGTTGTTGGAATTAAAGGCAGTTGTCTGACCTTTATGGTGCTTATGGTTTCTTATAATTGCTATTGTAAGGGGGAAAAAAAAAAAAAAAGAGAAAAAAAAGGAGAAAAGCTGAAACATAAAAATTTCCCAGTGAAAGACCAGAGACTAACACAGCACTTATTAAACTCAGTTTAAACACCACCAGCCTAGTGATACCTGTTCACTTTCAGCCAGGTTGCATGATCACTCCTAGTGATGCCTATTCACTCTCAGGCACCACTGCTGCTTGCAGCAATTTCTGCATCCAGTTTCCTTGGTGGTTTTTTAAATCATCTTACAATTTTACACGAAATTACAGGTGGATAATTGAAAGGAAAAAACCCAACACCTTTCTACCAAAGTTTTCAGTCTGTCCCCAAGATGTTAAATACACACAGGCAGCCATTCCAAATATTATGAAATTAAGTAACCTCCTCTATTCTACACAATTAAGCCAAATTGCTACAATTGTGTCATTAAATGCCACACACAGAGGATGAAGAATCAGAGCAGCCCCGTAGATTTTTCTCCAGTTCTGTCAGCAGCACTTCTGCCTGCAACAAGGAATACATATATCCATATGCTTCCTGTCAACCTGTGTGACAAATGCAGCACAGTCTTCGTGCTCCCAGCTAACAGAGGCAGTAAATGATATATAAAGCCCCTCTTTGTTCCCATCCATGGATAGAAGGCATTGCACAGACAAAGACAAATGGGATGGCTGCCTGCTGGTCGGGGAGAGGCAGCCACAGCAGCTGCGAGCTGATACAGAAAAAAACACGGCTTTATTTTATGTTTATGGGTTTGAACCCAAGCTAAATGTGTTTGTGAATGACTGGGGTGCCATTGTGGCTTGGCTCCCAGCTTGTGCTGCGAGCCAGGCCTGCTCGCTCCGGGTGCCACAAGATCCCGATGCAGTGGGATCCTCCCCTCCTTGGCACAGCTGATTCTGCTGCTCAGGGGGAGCAAGGACACCCCAGCTGTTTGCTGTCACAAACAACAAATTCCCAGAAGGACTGGGGGACCTGAGAGGAACCCATTTCAAGAGGATTCTGCTATGTTTGTAGTGATCTGCCAGTGGTGTAGGACTTCCACTACCACTATGTCAAAATTTGTCTTCCAAGTAGCAACGACCAAAAAAACTGACTGGTTTGTGCAGGGCTCTGCTTCCTGAATTGCAGTGAAGGTAAACAAAAGGTTACACCAGACTAAAAGTTTCACTTTTGCTCCTCATTACTTGGTCTGTCCTCTTCTAGCTCCCACATTCTGGCAGAGGAAAGGTGCAGGCTCCTATAGAAATACATGGTGACCTTAGTAAAACATTTTATACAAAGCAGCATATCAGAGGAAATTAATATCATTGGGCTCATCTCCAGACAAAAGGTGGAGCTGATGTCCCTTGACTCTTCTAACTGATGAAGATTAAAGGGAAATTATGACCCACTAGATGGGGTGAGACCTGTCTCACAGCCGTGGCCATGAAGTCCTGCTGGTGATACCTGATGTGTTTGGCTGACCTGAGAGCCCGGTTTGGGTCCAAAGTTCCATCTTA